ATATATATATATATATATGAGGTTTCTTGTCGTACATATTAGGTATGGAAAAAAGTTCGTGGCGTTTTTTTAATGCCATCTAAATGGGAAAAGAATCCTAATAGAATTCTTAAAAAAAAGTAAAATTCGTAATTATCAATACATTTTTTGCTATTTCTTGTTACTCTTTTTTCTTCACTTTCGATAATTTACATACATAATATAATTTAAGTATCTATATCAAGAAATTTAATACTAAATATCAACTCATTATTTGATTTTTTAAAATTAAATATAATTTATTTGCTTCCTTTACACATATATCTTGCGTCAATATCTATATTCTTTATAAAGTTCTATTTTATCTATACATAAAAAAACTTCTGGCATTTTTAAGAAACGTTTGCGTGATTTTTTTAAATTTAGATTTACACATCAATATCTGTCAGTCTTATTAAAAAATGCAATATCTGTCGATAGATTTTGCTTTACTTACCTGAATGGATTTCGCGCGGTTTTGGCAAATTAGTGACACATGTGTGAGGACAGAGGAGCACATTAGCCGGATGGAGAGTACCCTCGAGAAAGCGGCGTTTCGTTTCCGACAGATGAATGCCACCTAATGGCGTTTTGGGTAAATAATTAGGTGGTACCAAGGCAAGACAATATATTCCTACTGCATGGATCGAGTCCACCGCTTGTAATACTCGAGACATCCATTGGAAGCTCTATATAAAATGATGAGAAATTAAAACTAACAATAGAATTAATAGTTGTAAATAACTTAGAGACCTCCTTTAATTAATATAATACAATAATAATCATATATTAACGGGGCACTTAGGACACGACAGAATTTTTGATTGTCTTAAATTATTTATAATTTTAACATTTGACAATAGTTAATTATTTAATATAATCTTTTTCTGCATCTTTTTACTCGACGAGTTTCTATACAGTATGTAAATGAGGTGAACATCGCTTTTATTCTGAATTCTGAATTTCCATCAATTTCCTAACACAATTTTTTTTCTTGATAACGTGTTCCGAGAGCAATCCACTCAGCTATGTAACAGTTGGACAATGTTGACAATATTGGATAATGTTGTCAAGAGAAAGATCGCATTTCACTATGTCGCCACCATGATTGCATATAAAACACTTAATTATGATTCATTTTTCAACATTGTTTGCAATAACGTTAAGAATTTTACTGAAGATGGCTCAAATCGGAGCCGAAATTCATAATGAATTCAATTGATTGACACAATTGTATATTAAATTTCTTGCGCAATATTTGTTCTACTACTGACTTCTAAGTGCCTCGTTAATTATATTATATAATAAGAAATATTTTAAAGGTGCTCAAATCGGTTTCTGACAAATTCTTTCTTCTTCAAATAAAGGTTCCATCATCTTCTTATTTAAATAATATTTAATTGTAGAATGTACCTCTTCTTCACTGCAATCAGGCCGTTGTTCGGCTACGACGCATATCCTTTCGTCCCTAAGAACTCTCACACTGAAAACGGCGATTCTACCGCGGTATATAAATTTCATTGGTTCGACCGCTAACACAGTGGCAATAATGTCGTCGGCATTGTGTTTCCTGCCAGTCACCGTCATGAGACCGTCCCGCGATCCGCAGACAAACACAAGTCCTCCAGGACCAAGAAAACCCAACAAGCCAGAACGCGTGTATTCTACATCACTCAAGGTAGTACCATCGACTTGTAAGGGCAATATCTTGAAGGTATTGTTAGTAAGCCCTTGCAAGCCCCAATATTGGCTACCAGTCGCTGCACTATGCACGCAAATTTCACCTACTTCGTCCGTCTTACAAATAAATGGCTGTCCTTCCATCTTAATAACGACTACTACACCTGTAAAAAATATAAATATATACATTGTCATTAAGATACGTCATAATGTAAAAAACAATCAATTTCCAAAGAGAACTCACTTCCAGGCATGACTTGTCCGCAATCTTGTAGTGTTAATGATGTAAGAGAATTCTCCTGATCTACTCTAACAACTCCGTAACTCAGACCGGACATAGAGAGAACTCCACGACCAGTCGCATTTACTCCTGCGCGTCCTGGCCTTCGTACGGATACTGTGAGGGCCTCGCTTGAGGAAGCGCAAGGACAGACAGCATCTGGTCTGAGTCCTTTTGATTGAAACACTGAGAGAAATTGATCGCAGGACGAGAGAGACCAGGGATTTGCGCCATCTGCAACGAGTAGTAACCGCAACGACGCCAGAGAAACATCCTTGTGATCCTTAGTTGCTAACAGACCCCAGTGAAGATCTCGCGATTTTACGACCGCGACGCTGGCACGATGCTTCGTAATCATCTGCATCCAACTAGCAGGATTAACCTTCATCAAAGCATAAGGGATGAAAATGACATGCATGCCATTTAGTACACTGGTTAAAGTACTGTGCCAAAGGCCGACTTCCCGCTTAAAGTCAAGCACGCAGACAGCATTCTCGCCTTCGGTGTAACCGCAAGCCTGTGTGAGAGCACGACAATGAGCCATCATTGCCGCCCTAGTAATAGTCACACCCATCACGGAGCCATCTTTATCGGTAGTATATTCAATATATGCGGGCGTGTCATCGGTAAGCCGTGGTGGCGGTAGCCAATCTTTGGGTGTCTTGCCTAGATGCTCAGTAACGAACCAATGCAGTTTTGGCCAGCCTTTAAAGGCTATTACTTCGCCAGCTGCCGTCTTTGGCAGACCTTTTAGACATGCTTCACTGGTCAACGCCACCTGAAAATCAAGATGTATAGCAATGCTAATTCGAGTGAGTTACATATATTAACACAAATCGCAATAAAAATTGCAAGAATGTACGGCTAATTGAACATGCAAATATAGAAAGAAATGTTGTTTGGTGGATAAGATAAGAGATAGTATTCTGTTTACCTGAATTCCACAACTTCCTAAAAGAAATCCAATCTGTTGAGAACCTGCATCACGACGAGTCAGAGGTACTTCAATGGGCACTGGCACGATTCCGGCTTGAAGACAGCCATAAAAGGCGCACATGAAACTAATCGGATCGTTATTCGGATAAACCAGGGCGATTCTGTCGCCAGGTTTCAGACAGCAATCTCCTCCGCGACTTAAAGCCTTATTCAGAAGGGTATAGGCAATCTTATGAGAACGACTGAACAATTTACCGTATGTAAGCGTTACGCAAAGCTTGCCATTAGGATCCAGGACAGTAGCGACGGGCGCCTTGTATGTCGCTGAGCCATACCTAAACGTGAGAAATGTTTCTTAAGCCAGAAACACATAAACACATTTAAAACAGTAAGGCAATAAGACGTAAACAGTAAGTAAGTTGGACAATCATAATAGAGAATATAAGGCAATAATCTTACGTTTTCTACGGTAATTAACTGTTTCATTTATTGCTTATACCTTATTGCCTTGTGTTTTTATATCTGCTATGGGCAGATATTATACGGATCAATGAAAAGAGATAAATTCAAATTTTTATTTTTAACAACATATTTTAAGGAGAATCAAATTGGTTCCAAACAGTTGTGAAACGTCCCTTATGAGTATATACAAATTTCTCGTAGTTCGCAAAATGTGACGTTGTTGACTTATTGATACTTTACCTCTGAATGGCAGCTTCGAGAGATCGTGGTAACCCTGATGGCACTGATAGTGTTTCGCCTACCGCCGATGTCATGGAACCACCTTCGGGTTTGGGAGCATTTGGATCCTTTGGATTCGCTGCGATCTCCAGTTCGATATCGTCGTCCTCGTAAAATTCTGGTAGCGGCCGACGCTTCGGCCGTTTCAACGTGTTTAATAGTTGCTGAATCTTTGCAGAGACTTTCCAGCGACCTGTGGTACCAGTGCTATTTTGATCTTCAACCACGTGCGCATAACGATTCACCCGGTCAGCACCAGGTCGCCGCGTTGCCGATTGCTGCTGACTGATCGGGGTACTGCTCGTCACATGAGTAACGTCCGGCGGTTGAATATTACAATAGGCATGTGGCGTGTATTCAGTGATGTCAGTGATGTCGGCGCCAGGCGGCCTCCTAGCCGGCGGTCTGGGCGGAGGTGGAGTATCGCGAGCGGAACCAGTACTACTGGTATCCGAAAGACCGGTACCTATCAAGATTGATAGTAATTAGTGCACACATTTATTGGAGAATTTATTTCATATGATCATGTGTATGCAGGTTTCTTCACATTTCAACGCGCAGTTCAACTATTTTTTCTACTTGTACGTATGAAAGAAAAATAATGTGTATTGATTATTGGCGTATCATCCGGCAGAAATAGTTAAGGTCATGTAATGTTAATGTTTAAGCGGAATCAAATGACGCTTGAACCATGTTTTTTTTTTCTTTTAACATATATGCACCCCAAGATAGATGAATAAAATTAGTTATATTACACGACACACTAATTATTTACTTTGCTGCATTTAGTGATTTTGTTCGACAAATATTTATAAATAATTCTCAATTTATTTATATTTATTCAATTTATTTATATTTACCTCTATATGTATTTAATTTGGAACAGAATCAAATCATGCGCAATAAGAACATTACTTCTTATTATTTTGTCATTATATGTGACTAATAATAATAATTTTACCGGTTGGACCACCTGCGCCTGGACTCTCCTCAGTGACAACGCTATCCTCGTCACTACTAGATTCGCCGCTATTGCATCTCTCTCGATCGGGACTTCTGGCCATCACGGAGGTTCTTTTGGATGGCATTGGTAAGGATGGTTTTGGTCGTCCCTGCATTGCCGCTAAAGCCTGCTGCACTGCCTCCTGGCGTACCTCTAAATATATAAATCGTGATTACTTAAATGGACACTGGAGTAGTGGATGACACGTGCAAATACTTAATGTCGTACTTCCGCATCGTCATTCGTTCATCATCTTCGAATGCTAATTATATGTACGTGTTCATGCGTATTGCGCATCGTACATTTTCTGTCTTGCTTGCGATTTAACGTAATACTCTCGAGAGTATGTAAGTGGATGCGCGCGCGTGTGTGTGTTGTATATACGTGTACATATAGAGATTTGCGGGATGCAAAGATACAGAGATTTGATTTAAAATAAACTGGAAAGAATACATTAAATTAAAATTATTTTCATTATGAATAAACACTGTGGGCAGTATTCATAGTCAAATCCTTATATTCAAGACCGTCTTAAGAAGTCACAAATTAATCAAAAAGCTATAGTGTCTTAAGATATTACTTAAGATAATCTGAAATAAGAACGTCTGAACTATGAATACCGCCCTATGACACATATAATTTTATCTACCGAAACAATCACAAACACGATGAGATAAATGAATAACTTTTGCATACTGCTATTTGCAAGATGTACAGATTTTATTCGTTCCTTCTTAATTATATATTTCGAGCACATTTTATATGTAAATTGAGATAAAGAATACTGTAGTTACCAAAAATAGAATTCATTTATCGTTAACAGTGTTCGATTCATGTATAATATGTATACGTAAAACTAGAACGGATATTTTCCAAATGGTGTAAACTGTTTAAAATGACACATAATAAAGTAACTGGACTTTATATCTAAGTTATGCAATTATTCTGAATTTTTTTACTGAGTCCAAAAGTAAAACCGCACTCAAAAGAGGAAATATAATTATTGAATATTAAAAGAAACATATGATATTTTCAAATACTTACATAGATACAGTAAAGGTTTTAAAAAGAAGTAGTGTTTAAGTCAGATTATGTATATACCCAATATGGCTAAGTATGTTTTCATAAAAATATATTAAAGAAAATGAAAAAATATAAAGTAATTCGATGTTATTTTTACAAGATTATAAATTTATTAACATGTGATATGTTTATTAACATGTAATATCAGTGTTTTTTGTGCAATGTACTCTATTTTCAGTACCTAGATCAATACTTAGATACAGATACAGGTATACTTTTATTGTAAAATTTCAGAATAAATTACATTTTGATGACAAAATGATGTCTTTAATGTTATTTTAATATCAAAATAACAGCTTGCTTGTTAGATATGATCTATGTATTTCATATATTCGCACGTAATATTTATTTACATACAGGATGTTTCTGTTATAAGGTAATATCTCCGTTGCTATTAATGATACGCGAAAATGCCTATGGAATAAATTGTTTGATTCGAAAGACACATATTTACTGTTGTGTAGCCTCCAACATTAAAAAAAGAATAAAGTTTTTTTTTAAGTGCGTTTTATTCCCTTAATGCCCGCAACGCTCGTTGAATCATTTTATCTTTCTTTATCATTTTATCTTTGTTGTTCAAATATTAAACAAGGATGCTCGTGAACGTTGCGAATATTATAGGGAACGCAGTCTATAACTCATTTGATTGTTCATCGTTTTTGCAGATGCACGTTTTAAATATTCATTTGCACACTTTCAGAAAAAAAGTTATTCAAAAAACAATTTTCGGAGGGATAACTTCATACCACCCCAATTGTGAGTAAATTATATTGAAAAAGGATTTGCAAATTACAATGAAATCTGCAGCCAAGAGAAAACGCTATTTATTTAATTTGGTATGGAATTTAACTTGATGCCAATTGTTGATATCAAATCTTTATATGAATAATATCTCGTTAAAATTAAGTAAATAATAAAAATAATATCACTTGGGTTTATTTTTAGGTTTATTTTTTGATAGAATTTAACTTGGCTAGTAGACTAACATTTAAATTTTTAATTTGTAAAATATTTTTTTTCGAGTATTAATTTTTGATAGAAAATTAAAGCTGCCATTACTTGAATTGGAATAAGATCTTCAATAAGAATATTTTTGAAGGAGAATTAAAATTATTATTACTCGGGAATAATAAAAGAATATGTATCACTTAGATTTTATTCAAGAAGCATTCTTCGAGCCTTTTTTTATCTTTTTTTTTTTTAAAGTAAGTTTGTACTAATATCATGCATTTTGTAGCAGTGCGAACGTCTTCCTATAAACAGTTTATATATTTTTTGCAACATGTGTAACATGCTTCCAATAGAATAATTGCAAATTTTATAATCTAGATATAAAAAACACCCTCATTGTCTTATATAATATATTATACCTATGATTATAATTATAAAACGTTTTTTTTTTTTTTGAGAAAATAGCAAGTTGTACATAGAAAAATAAAAGTATAGTTAAAGGAAATTTTGATACGGCAACATGACGGATAAGGTATCACGTTCTGATATTCACTGTTAGAAAGTGTACGCGTAGCAGCACACCTGGCTTTCTTCCATCATGATACGAATGACATGATATTTTATATCTTAATCTGACACATTATGAAAAGTATTACATATGAATATTAAAGCAAACTACAAAATAATGTTGACTGTATATTACCTTATTAATTGAAAAATCTTTCGACTTATTAAAAACTGATAAGTCCTATATGATTAAGTCCTGTATGAAAAATAGGCGCATTGAGGTTCATCAGTAAAACTGTCAGTTTATGATTTTCCTTACATCAATCGATTCATCTCCTTCTGCGCATAGAAATATTAAAATTCGATTATAAAAACATTGCATCAATCTCTTACTTGCAGATTGCATGTTGTATTGAAGATTTCTTTCTCATGTAACTTCTTTTACGTATTCAGACGAGCAACATGAATAGTACGAGTATATAAGAGTAATAATATAAGAATTTAAAGGAGATGGTGTAGGAGAAGAGGCCTAAGATAGTAAGAAAAATTTATATAGAATTCTCTTACCATCACAATTCTCTTGATCCATCTCCTCCAAACTCCATTTGTACTATTCCTGTTGCTCGTCAGAAAATTGAGAACCTTGTAATCATCGGATACTCTATTTACTCTTCTTCATCTTGCAAAGAATATTAATTTTTCCAGAAATTGTTAAGATTCGTGATTTATATTTTTTATCTTCCAGAGAATTATCGCAAAATTAATACACAAACTTAAAAAGAAAGTTGTGAAATGTGAATGAAAGAAAGTTGGAATGAGAAAGATGATTTCTTACAATATCCTATAATTTATAAGTAAAAAATTGATGCAATATATGCTATATAATGTTTTTATAACCGCACTTTAATATTTTTGTACACAGAATGAGATAAAGCAATTGATGTAAAGAAAAAGATAATTGCTTTTCAAAAAATATATAATTTGCAGTATGCAATTGTACATCTTTTTTGAAAAATAACTATGTGCTTTCATTACACCAATTGATTTATCCTATTCCGTGTATAAAAATATTAAAATATAATGATTAAAGTTAATATTTAATCAGACGTTTTTTTATACTTTATGTCAAAAATTTATATGCTAGCATGTCATCTCACCGCCATCGGGAGAAGGAAGAGCCACTACTACGTGAAAAGAGCCGCTATCACCTTGAAAATCGCTTCATCTGGCAGTACATGCAGGTTGTATTATTCTGTTATATGGAGTCTACAATAGAAGTCGTAGTAGGATCTTAGAAGTGGTAGTAGGATTTTAAGTCGAAAATTGACCAATAATAGTCGATTATTCTTCTCATATTCGACTGTGATTGGTTAATTTTCTATGATTTAAGACCGCTGCGATTGTAGACCCCGTATTATATATTTCTTTTGTTATTGCTGCCATTTAGAGCACTGTGATTCGCAACAGAATTACAGAAGCATCATGGGAGGAAGGAACTCTATGTACGATATACATTTTCTTCTGGTGGAGAAGTACCAATATGAAAGATATCAAGAGAACGATAGCCATGGATACAGTCCGCCAAAAAGAAGGTCGCTAAATTACGGAGTCGCCAAGCGGAACATTCCTAGCTATTCGGAATTGTCAGGAGGCTGCCCGCATATAAAGGAGTCTCCTTCCAATTTATAATAAGCGCAAGGATCTGCGACTCGCGAGGACTTACATGATTCGCGTAAGCGATAAGACCATACGCGTGACATGGCCTTGATTGAGAGGGGGAGGGCCATGGACCTGCGGAAAAATCCTGTTCGACATTCGTGTTGTGGCCGAGCCAATTGTTTGTAAGGGAGCACGTGCGATCTCACATGAGGAAGCAAGTTATCAAGGAACGGATACCGAAGAGAATACCGAAGCGAGAGAATACTTGGAGCCGAGAGATCGGAGAGATCGGGAAGGAGCAAATTCGATGAGACGAGTCACGTTATTTGTAAAGTCGCCGATCGTAAGATTCTTGGCGTCGAGTAGATCGCACATTAAAAACTTTTAAAGATTTCGAGCGGCCAATTTTCTAGCTGTCGTGTAATATAATGATTGCAAGCCATTGCAATCCATGCATATCATCCGCCCGTCTTTTAGAGAATTGTCTGTTGCCAAATAGAGTTCATCCTTTGTCACAGCCGAATCATATCCTAATGCGTAATTATATGTTGAGAGTAATTCTGTTTCACAGCCTAAAAGTCATTTTCAAATCTTCGCGCAAAGAAATATTCAGCGTCGCGTAGCTATTACCTTTTTGCGTCATATTGTCCTTTGTGATCATACGAGCTTTTGCGTACTGACGATACATTCTTAGTGGTAAAGTATTTGTGTCACATTTATTCGTCTTTAGTTCGGCAATATTAAGAATTCTGGTAACATCGAAATCTTGTGATCTTGTTTAATTGGCGCGTACATAATCGGATTGTATTATTTTCGTTGCGGATGCCGAATTTCGAAAGAAATGTCTGGCTCGAAGATTGTACTTTATAAATATCCTCTGTAATTTGACGTTGACAGAATATATTTATTACAATATTTTCTTTGTTAACTTACTGCCGTTCTTTAAGCCTATTTCTTTCATCTTCTGACATTCTTCTGTCTGTAATGAACCACCCTCTCTACGAATCTATCTCTCGTTATTGAGAGTGAATATTGCGAATTAATCGAAAATTAACGAAAGAGTGGCACGCTCTCTCATACCTGACGCCCAATTCACATTTAGAAAGCACTTATAGCAACTTGTTAAAGATCCGCTTAATTAATTCTGGAAGTAGTGATTCTGAAAATCTAGTAGAAGACGCACAACAAACAAAGTTGTGTCATTACTCGCGAGTACGGTTACAGTATCTACATACATACTGTTACAGGACGTTTTGCAGCAAGGATACAATACAGCGAATTATCCCATCCATATTTAACGTTAGTTTAACGTTGGTAAATGACAAATGTAATGTTCATTGTATTACACTGTGCTCTTGACGCAAAATGTCCATAATTTCATTTATCATAGTCAATTTCATTTATCAGAGTCATTCGGAGGATTCCACATAATTGATATAAGACGCTGCAATCGCATATTTTCTTTTGATTGACGATAATGACAATAACGATTTCTTATAATCTAGACAATTAATTTTTGGATAGCAAATACTTGGACATTCAGTTCATTGATGGCATACGCCTAGATATCTACCTCGACGGCGAACATGTAGACAACAACCTCGACGATGATCTTGACATTTCATTTTATGAATAATTTACGCTGCACGCATCGCAGCCATCATGTGCAGTTATGTATGATCATGTGCAATGCTGATTTGCTGGTTAGATAGATAACATAAAGTCAAAAGCCATCTGTTATTGGAAAAAAAAAAAACGAAAAAAACGTACATTTCTCTTCTGGTCTGGATGAACATGACACGCGTTCCTCGAACGCACTCCTGATCTTTGCAGAATGTAGAAAGTGCAAAGTGCAGAGAATGGCTATGTTCGACAGTGTTTCTGTACGCACCCGACCATGCTCGACGGCGTCTGCCTTCTAATGCTAAAAATTCCTGCCGTTCTGCTCTGGACGACGATGATGTTAATAATGATGTTTCTTAAAATGATGATAAAATTCAAAGATTCAGAGATATTGCAATATCTCCGTTCGTACAGTAGTAAAAAAAAGCATTTTTTTCAAGTGAATCGAATAAAAATTGTAGAAATTATGATGTACGCCGTTACGCCGAAAAAATGTCTTGAGAAAACACGCGTTTAACGTTTTTCAATACCAATGTTTCGTGTATAAAATTAAAAAATGTACAAATTACCTTTAGTCTGCAATGCCTGCGCCATATTGCTGTCCTTCAACATTGATATAAACCTCTTCAATCTCTTTCCGGTTTCATTTTAAAGCTCTGTGAGCCTTTTTTGCCGCTTCGGTCAAGGAGCGCTCCGCTACTTTGATGCATTGAGCGTCCGCTTTCACGCAGAAGTTATAACAGTTACAGCCTATAGGCATCTGCTAGCACGTGTAATACTAATTTTGCAGCCTTTCTTTGTGGTATACACTATTCTTTTATCGCCTTTCATTACAATAAATATATTTTCAAACGTGATAACGGATTTTCCAACACGAATCATCAAGCGCCGTTTGACACATCTATTTACAATGAAAAACAGCTGTGTACTAACGCTACTCGAGTTATATAACGGTCGAAATTTCTATTGATATCTATAATTACCTACGGAAATCTATTGCTACTGTTTTTTCATATCTGAGGCAGCTCCGAACTTTTGGAGCAGCGCACGACGGCACGCCGATCGTAAAGGTACGCGCCTCAAAAAAATCAGTTGTGACTTTGTAAATATTTCGAATTTTCCATTCCAATTACTGGGATTATATTTTTACATATGTATAACCTATTTCATTTAAGTGAAAAAAATTTCGATTTTTTTCAAAGTTTCAAAATGATGTAACCCCTTAAATATTTGCTATAGGATTGTCAATCACAAAATCATAAGACCTTACTTTTTTAAAAATTCATTAAATAAGACCTTTATGAATTCAGCATCCTTTTAAAAATATAAGTTTTCAATTTAAAAAATGTTAATATTTTTATTTGTAGTTGAGTGTAGTAACATCGTTTTCGTTTATACTTCCATAACTACAAACAAAAGAAAAATCACTACAAACAACTACAAACCTGAAAAGGATATCGCAAGTGGATTTGAGATATCTCAAAGTTGCATTTTTAGCTTGTAGTTAATTTATTGTAACCCTTATGGTTCAATTACAAAAAAATCAGAAAATCATTATAAACAACTATTAACAATTCTGAATCAATATACCATATAATTGGCATTTTTTGTTTATCTGAAAATCGGATAATTTATTTTTTCAAAATTTAATATTTTTTAATACATGGAACTACAAACAAAAATAATGTTACTACAATCAACTATAAAACAAAATTTTTTTTGAAAATTTAGATTTTTAAAAGTCAAGTGCCAAATTCGCAAAGATTTAAATGCATGTGAGTATGCCATCGATGGACCAGTTAAATATTTTTATTATTATACGTGATGTCGCACCATTTGTGGTGAAAAAATTATAAGAATGACTTAATAAACATTATATTTTAAATAAATTTTCATTATTTGATCCAATATTTTGAAGTGTAATTGTTTAATATTCGATTTTCAGATAGTCCAATGATGAATAACCGGTGATCTATCCATAGGCAACGTAATCCAATAATGTTAAAATATATTTAAAAAATTATATTAAAAGTAAAGTGATAAATGTCGTTCTAGTCTGACAAGATGAATGAATTTTTTTTCAAAGATAATATCTGAAAGTAAAAAGTTTTCGAAAGTATATGCACTATATAATTTGTTTTTCGGCGTACTTACCCTAAAAATATAATTGTTACGAATTAATTAGCCTAAGGGGCTCATTGATAGCGTACTTACCCTAAATATTTACCTTTATATGCTAACTTCCAAATGATTTTTTCCTTGATGTTAACCTTGAACTTCAAGGAAATAAATATCAAGGATAGTCATTTGAATATTGGAAGATAGAGGTAAACATTTATGGAAGTGTATTTGTTAAAGCTACTCAAATAGAATTGAATGATTTTCGAACAATAGAAATGATACGGTAGAAATGGAGCTGAATTACCAATATACATTTCCTACTTGAATGGTCCTTGTATATCTAGTGAGAGATGTACTCACCGGAATGGTAACGGCTCTCATTGCGTGTCAGTCTGCGATTACCGCGTCTAGCTGCCGCCGCCGCTGCCGCTGCCGCTGCCGCAGTAGCAGAATTCGAGTTCCCAACGTTCCCTGTGGAGCCGCCAGAACTCGCGGGACTGGCGATTCCTCCAGGCGCTAGTCGACCGCCTGCATGCAACATAACAACAACAACAACGACACATAGACAGAAAAAGGACACTATGAGAGCTCGACTGCGAGGCGCAAAAGTTATCATCATTCGAACACTGGTATCTAACTTTGAAACGTTGGGAGTTAGTACATCTTTTATCTACTTTGCTATTGTTAATCGCAAATCAATTCCAATGTTTCTAAATCCAACAAAAAATTAGTTGAAAGAAACGATTCCAACCGTTTCTACGAAACGTTAATCTTTACAGGACGATCATCCACTATAGTGGTATTATTTTATTTTTCATGTTGTAAGAGCGTAATTTTTATGCTGTTTAATCAAAATCCTAATATTTAAAAAATTGAAAAAGCAAAATATAAATCAACATATAAAATCTCCCTGTAAAATTATCCTATGTATCACAAAATGTAACAAATTCTAATCGTATAAAAAATTGAGAGACCCATTTGGGATCTCTCAATTTATCAAATAATTTTATCAATCGAATTTTTAGTATTTCTGTACACAAATCTTTTGTTAAATAATTTTGTTAATCGAATTTATCATAAATAAATAAGAAGTGGATTGTGTCCTTCAAGGTTAAAAAAACAATGAGAGAAGAATGTTCATCATGCTTACGATCCATATATGATAAACACAAACTCTATTTGTGTATTGAGATTGTGATGGCGAAGAATAATGTTTTCTATGTATTTTTTGTATTTTACGTTTTTCATTTATATTTACTCCTTTAGTATATTATTATAATAATATTTACATTAATAATTTAACCTAGTAATAAATTAAACCAATAATAAATAGCCTTTTATCTGAATTTAACATTTTTTTTTACATCTAAAAAATCTAAATAAATACTATTGATAAGTGGTAACACTTCAGAAATGATTCGAGTCATTTTAAGGGTTAACCATCGTGTGACTTTTTTGAAGTGTGACCATGAAGGGTTAAAAATCTCTATCGATAGTTGAAATTTCAAACCTCCAGTAGATTTCAGGTCCTGAAGCCGTCCTTCTGAAACCAGAAAGATTCTGAAATCTAGCGTGAAAGTTCCGAGTGATGCTCGGATTATTTTGATGATCCTGAAGAATTAAATCACATTGCTGTTTTTTTAATGTATATCATCTCTAAATAGGGAAGTTCGAATGAGGTAGTGCACGACGCCGGTTCCAGTTAGCATCGCATAATCTCCTACTCAATTCCTACTCTTACTTCCATGAAACGTAATAGAAAGTTACGCGGGTGAATTTGAGTAACTCAGCTAGAGACTATTGGGCGCCATCCTCAGGAAAACAGGGCTAATGAGGAAGAGAAAAGTGGCTGTCAGATGTAAAAGGAGTTGAGCTAGGGGCTAGTAATTTATTCTAGTAAAAAAAAACATATATTATGAAAGCTCAAGGAAATGGAACCGGACGAACCCTAAGACAATGATAAGGCAACCGAAGTAAGCATATAAGAATTAGAACGTGGAACACCCGTATACTGTAGGTCAGAAGTATTGAGGATGCTCATTGAAACACTAGATAATTATAGGGTGTACCTACTGAATTGCACTGTAAGAAATGTGATAGGACAAGGAACAAGAGACGGAAGTTAATTTTATTTTTATTCTATAGTTTTTATCTATAGTTTTACATTACATACAACATTACATATATGATTGGTAATAAATACCAATAAGATTAAATATATACGTGTTCCTCGACCAAAGCTAAACCAATTACAAATGGAAGAGAAATAGAATTAATTAGTAAATTTATTTATCTTGGATCAAATGAAATTATGGCAGAAATGAAGCAGCGGAAATCCTGCTAATTAATAAGAAAGATTTTGGACTGGCTTCACAACTCAAATCTCAATACAAAGTGTAAGCTGTACAAAACTCTAATGTCATACTGACATATAATGCGGAGATATGGATACTTATAAAGAAATGAAGAATTACTGGGATGTTTCAAACGCAAAGTACTACATAGAATATATGGCACGGTTGTGGATAGTGAAGATGGAGGAAGCGGTATAATGAATATTATAACCATGAATATTATATTAACTATACAACGACTGTAATATTGTGAGGAGGATAAAAATCAACCATCTGAGTTAGATGGGACATATGATCAAGATGGACTCAAGAAATCTCATGCACATCAATACTACAATAACCAATGGAACAACGACGCAGAGGAAAATTGTATTTCGTGGATGACAAGGAGGACTTGAGAAGGATAGAAATGAGGGAATACAGAACAAAAGCGCTGAATAAGGACGAATGGAAAAATATTCTAAAGCAGGTCGGCATAAAGAGCTGTAAAATTAAAATAATGATGATCTTTAAATAGAGTGGTTCTTATTTTTTGATTTTTCAAATTCTTTCCGCCTTATCCCCTAAAATTGTTCCACAAAAAAATAATTTCTGTAAAAGTTTAATTCAACCCAATATCGGTAATTCGGTGCCCTCTACTCGTTAAACATTTGAGTTCCATTACACTATCAGCCCTGGTTTTTATAGTGTCTTTTCCATAAAAATCGACCTATAGGACTTCCATTTTTTTAAATATGTCTTGTTTTTTTTTGAGACTTCATACATCTCATTTAAACAATTAGGTAAATTATTAATGTCTGAAAAATAAAAAAAGTTATTAAATTTTTACATATTCAAGCTAAAAAAATTGATCTATGGGCTAATAAAGTATTAGTAATATGTTTGAGGGCAAAAATTAGTTTAAAATAGGATAAATTCTCTGTATAAGAATTGCTCTGAAATTGAAAACCGTTTCCCCGAACCCTTTGAGGTATAAAGGAAAAGGAAAACGGGTACAAACGATTTTTTTTCAAATGGTTATAAAAGCGAAATTAAAAATTTTATAGTTGCACACTGATCATTTCTTATTTTTCATTTCTTTTTTTATTCTTAGAAACGAAATAACGATCGGTATAAATAGATAAAAAAAGAAATATAAACGCGTTATGGTATCCATTTTTGTTTTTAATGAAGTTGGGCGCCAGGTTCACGACGGTCTAGAGTTGTCATGTCGTGATAACATTTGCTTGATATAAAAGTTATAAATCTGTATTTATGAAATAGCAATACACAGATTAGTTTGCACGAAGAAATCGTTAAGTTCTTAGAATTGGATTAATATTTCTTTAATATTTAATTAAAATACTATCGTTATACAAAAATTTATGTTGTGCGTGAAATATTGATATTATACATTTTTAATCTTCTATTGCACAGTATTTCTAAATTCGGAGTACTTCCTAAATGAAAATGACATTTCGAGTTACACGCTATTAGGAGATTTTTTTTTCTAATAAGAGATATTTTTCTCAGTATATTCGCTCAAGAAGAAGCTTCGAATGAAATTCACAAGGTAATAATAAATATAACGATTCAATGGAGGTATCACTCTTATCGAACACGTGGTACTTTTCTTTTGGAGAAATAAGGCTTCTCGTGCGTATCTCGTGTACGTCTCAACATTTCAAATTGTCATGGAATATATTATAATCAGTTCCAAGACGATTATATGAATGAAGCACTGATATCAAGGCCAGTATTCAGATGTTATATTCAAGATCATCTTAAATACAGTCTCACGAACCAATCAGAAACATATTAACATCTTAAGATATTACGATAGTCTTGAAATAAGAATGAACTATGAATACTGCTCTAAAGTCTCGAATGAGTAACCGTAAATTTTTTCTGCTCACAATGAATAACTTCTGATTTCGAGATAACATTTTCCTTCTTATATTTGTGGTACTTATGTCTCTCATAATTACGTAGGTTTTTTTATTTCGACATATAAATAAGTATCTCTAATTTTTGGCGAAAAACAAACATTAAGATATGTGATATGTCAATAACATATAAATCATTTATGAAAGTAAATCGTGCAAGTCCTACTTAAGTAAAACAAACATGTTCCCTTAAGAATTCCTTAGGGATTCCCTTAAAGCAAAAAAAACCTATTAAATTTCATAGGATATGAAAGAGAGAATGCCTTAAACGATTTAACTGAATCTTAAATGTTTGTATAATTCTGTGTGAATTTATATAGTACGTATGTATGTTTTAAAATGCGCGCCGAAATGATTTTTTGGTCTTGAAACACAAATTCTATTAAACTACACAGTAATATTACAAGTTAAATTGACTAGCAATTTAACAATTTGACATTCTTTATGTATCTTAAAACACTCTTAATAATGCTGAACATAGTAAAATATAATGACATAGTAAAATAATTAATTCTTATTGCAAAAAATATTACCTCGGTCGGGAATCGAACCCAGATCTCTGATATTCCGTGCGAGCGTCCTAAGCCGTAATTATTTACAGAATACGACATTCAACATTATTAAGATCGTTTTAAGATACGAAAAGGGCAAATTAACAAATTGTTAAATTGCTAGTCAATTTAACTCGTGATACTGCGATAGTTTACGCGAGTTTGCGTTTCAAGACCGAAAAATCGCGCATTTTAAAAGACTACATACGTAGTATATAAAGTTACACAGAATTATACAAACATTTAAGATCCAGTTAAATCGGTTAAGCCATTTATTTCAATTGGTTGTGTTTTTAAATTCTCTTTTCAATATTTTTGCAATTTTAAAATTAAAAATTAACTTTTATTGAATATTAATTTATATATAAAAAACATTTTCCATTTATTTGTTCAATTGTATTTTTTGTCCAGTTTTACTGGAAAAATACTATAAAATGTACTATATATATATAATACTATATATATATACTATATATAATACTATATACAAAAATACTACAAAAATATTATTTAAACTGTGATAACCTTATCGCAGACATTTTGAAGCTTCATGCTATTTGGGATATAAAGTCGCCAACATTTCGTGCATGCATAGTACGCCGAATAATTCGCCAATCACCCGCTGATTCATTTGCTACGGAGAGTTTTTAGACATTGCTGTTAAAATCGCTTAATGACAGAGTTAAAGTAAGATATGT